AAAAAAAAAAATAATAACACTCGACTTTTAGTTTTTTGCACAGTTATTTTTAGAAGGAAAAGCTAGCAATGTGGGGGAGATAAAAGTTATTTATGCATATATTTTTTGTTAACTTTTTTTCTGGTAGTTGATGCATTATTGAAGAAATAACCATAATTTTATTTCATTTTTTTGCTTTCTTTTTCTGCCAGTAGCAGTTCTCTGAATTATTGAGATTAGCAGCAGAAACTGTTGAAAGGACATTTGCTGGAAAGAGGGATTTTTAACGTATCGTAAGCTAAACGAGCGTTTTTTTTCAATATTTTGTCTTTGTCAATTTTGCACAATTAATTTAATTCGAATTTTTAACCACATCGGTCAACTTCAAACGTTAGACAGGAAGATGGAGAGCAACAGCAGTCACTGCTTTTTTTCTTCAATTTTTTCTTTTAATTTGCATATGCATAGAGTAGTCATAAATTTAAGTAAATATTGTTCATTTTTTTTAAAATTATTTTTAGTATAATTTTTTTTCTGAGTACACTAAAAAATATCTATTAACTTAACGTCGTTTTTTTATTTGCAACGATTATTATTCTAATATTAAAGTCGCCTGTTGGCTTCTTTTTCAAATTATTATTAATTGATTTTTAGTTTATAATGAGATCAACCATTTTTTCTTTAGTACTTTTTTTTTTCATTACAGTCGTAAATCTCAATTTACTGCTTCTGTTCAAGGTTTCCACACTGTCTAAGAAAGTTAATGATATGGAAGAAGAGCGACTGACGTCGTCTGAAGAGCGGTCACGTCTAAAAACTGAAAATGCAGTCCTTATGGAACGTGTACATATTCTTGAAGAACAGCTACAGGCTGCTGAACAGAGGTTAGTACAAATCAGTTATAGTTTATGCGCCTAGTTCTTGATGATCCCAAGATGTCAAAAGCTATTACTGTTTTGTTTTAACAGAAATCGTTTGACTGGTTACCGTCTGTGCTTTTTAGATGGAAGGAGAAGTTGTCGGAAGAGAGGACACGAAATCGAGATATTATTTCAAGGATGGAACGTGAGAAACAGTTAGAAATAGAAAGCTGTACTTTAAAATATCAGGTAACAAGAAAGGAAGTTCTTTTAATTTAGTTAGAATTCCAGTTTAACCGTTTTTCAATGAAGTCGTATCATGCTTGGCCAAAAATCAAAATATTTAGTCTGTAGTTACGGCTGTTGTCAGTAGCAGCAGAAGAGAAGCTCCATCACGATTAAGCTATTTAAACTTGCTTTATACAGACCAGTAAAATCTTTTAAAGGTTCTTGAAAAAGATTTTGTGGGCCTTCGAAGAGAAAAAGAGAAACTTCGGGATGAAGTTTCGGACTTACAAAGAGATTTGTCGGAAACTAAGGACAAGTTAACCGATGCAAATCTTCTTTGTGAGAATTTAGAGGAAGATCGTATGAAACTGGAACGAGAATACAAAAAGTAGGTGAACAATTTGTCTGTTTTGTACAGTTTTTAAAATTCATTATTTACACTAACTGTGGGTATAGTTGCCCTCTATTTGTTGAAAATTGCTACTTTGTTCAAAAATTTTCCTGCACGATAGTCACGTATTAAGGTTTCGTGAAGAAGCACAACAGGATATTGATAGCAGTTCAGAATTGGTCGAAGAATTGTCTCGCCAAACTGATGAACTTAGACGTCAGAAACAAGCTCCACTACCAAGGCAAGGATCTTTAACAGATCAGGTATGAAGTTGTCAAAAAAAAAAGGATATTTGTTGCTCTTCAATATTTTTTCTAATATATGCGTAGCTATAGATCCATTACTTGGAAGGTGAAATTGAACGTTTACGAGTGGAAAACAGGGATATGAGAAAGGAAAACGAAGATCTACAGGCACAGCTTCTACATGATTCCGTAGAACGAGGGCAAAACCTGCTCGCCGACGGAGTACCATCACTTGCCGAAGAATTGAACGGCAAAGATTCAACTGAGGTATAGTTGGATTTTTGTATTTCTTTCAACTTTCTATCTGTTTTATTCGTTTCCTTTTAAAATTAGGACTGGTTAGTAGCACAACAGCACTGAAAATCGTTCTTCTGTTATCTTTTAGAGGAATGGGGAACGAAGAAGTCGTTGACTCGTTTTTTTTCAAAGCGTTTAAAAATTTTTTCTTTTTTGTTTATTTAAAGTAACAGCAAAGAAACATAAATGTTTTGCGTAAACGGGAGCTTTTTAATATTAATGGAGAACAAAGTGTAAAAATGGAACAAGTTTTTCTTGACTTTATTTTAGTTGAAAAAGGAATTTTTGAAGAGATTTCTGAACTTCATTAAGAGAAGGGAGAAGCAGGGAAAAATTAAGAGCAGAAAAAATAACCAAATATGACAGCAAAAATTTTTGTTTAGTTCATGTCAATTTGTTTATGACGCCTGAATAATTTTTTCTGATTTTATTCTTTTTGCTACTTATTCATGACTTTTTCACAAAAGTTTTAATTTTTAGCTGATGAATGCCTTGAAAGAGCAAGAAATATGTAATCAGAAATTGAGGGTATATATAAATGGAATATTAATGCGGGTTATTGAACTTCATCCAGAAATATTGGAAATAAAAGATTCACAAGATTCAGGATCGCATAATAGTAGCTGACAATTTGCCGATCAGGTAAAATTATTGTTTATGTTGACATAGCATAACATACCTGTATTATTGGAGTAACAGATACAGTTTTAGTTGTGTTTGATTAGCAGCGGTTTTAGATGTTGTCAGTCATCTGTATTCATATGGCTGTACAGCTACGCAGCTGATTGTATTTGAAACTGTTGAACAAGAAATGTATTCAATTTGTTCTACTAATGTTAAGATTAACGGGAAGGCGAGGGTAGGACTTACAGAAGTGATCTTTTGAATATTTGACTTTTTTTGTTTGTTGTCTGTTAGCAAATTTTTTTTTTTCGTAGGGGGGGGTTGGAAATTTACTACTTCTGATGCTTATTAGTAGATGAAAAAAGTGCCAGTGGTAGCATTTATTAGAAAGAGAAAAAAAAGCAGATTAAAGGATGATAGAATTTTTTTATTATCTATTTTTTAAGGAACATCAAGCATCAGCAGTATCGGTACCCGCTTCACCCAAACAAAATGTTGGTTCTTCAAGCGGATGCTCCAGTTTAAACAATCAATCTTGCGATGAATCTAGTCCCACCTTAAGTAGCAGACTTTATGCACTGCTACCGACAAATTCTTGGAGCATATTCAGGCGAGCGTCTAGAGAATCCTCATAAATTAATTTATGGTTGAAAAACAATAAAATAAAATGAAAGAAAAATGTTCTTCAACTGTATAAAAAAAAAAGGAAGGAAGGAACAAGTCGGGATCTCTTGTTCTTCTTTTTTTCTTTTTTTTTTGCAAATTACAAAGGGTAGTTTAATTATTATAACCATTGCTATACGGGTACAAACTGCTTTATGAAAGAAAAGCCCTAACATTTTCTTTTTGTAAATGTTGATGCTGACAATAATTTCATACTTATTTTTCATCCCGAATTTTTTTCTTTCGATTTTACATGAATATTTTTTTGTTTTGATCAATTGCTGTTCAGCATTTTTGGCTGAAGGAGAAAGAAGTGAATGTAAAAACAAATAGAATTAACAAGATTTGCAGTTTTCAATTAAAGAATGAAGGAAAAAAAGCGGAAGAAATGATGAAAAAAAGAGTAGTGAAATTATTGAGGTGTTCCTGGTCGTTGGATGCTTAAATTTGTTCTATTTTTTCATATACAAACTTCTTCCTGCTTTATTTTGTCTTCACCATCCACGTCTTTTCATTTCATCATCTTTTTCGACTTCTGCTACAGAGCTTGTGTTCCTTTTTTGTTTTTTTTTCATTTCTTGATACCTTTATTTTGCATTAAGCGCAAACGGTTTAACTGTCTACTCTTTCTTTATCCAAATGTCTTCTCTGATCAATATTTTTTTCTTCCGCTTTGAAACCAGGGAGGAAGAGGTATTGGAGTAAATATATAGATATTGCAAACTGCCGGCTTAACATCCTGTCGTTTTTAATCAAATTGCTCCCTTTGCTTGTTCCTATGTACATTGGTACACAACTTACCCACCTCTAAGATTTGTACAAAAACGTGTTTCCTGTTCAGCTATTAGGTTGAAAAAAATTGGAAAAAGCTATGTAAAGGTAACAAACAAGAAATATGCTTACATGCTGAGGTACAGTTTAATCTTTCCACCGAAGCTCTTCCCTTCTCCTTTCCTCCCATTTGTCTATTATCTCCCAATCTGTGATTGATTACTGGTTCAATTTTTTCCGTTTCGATTGGATTATTGCGTAATTTTCTTTGTCTTGTAAAATCAGTGAGTTTTAAGAAATTACAAGCGCCTTGCTTTCTCCGTTTTGTTTGTGTCATATTAAAAATTCTTTGTTTTGCAAGAAAAGAAAGGTCTCATAAATAAAAAGCTTTGTTGTGACGGAGTACTTTGTCAGTTGATGC